TTGCCGGGATAATTTGCGTTGCGGGCCACCTCCGTCCTGTTTTGAACCACTTCTGGCGTACTGCGTTCGTTAGATCCTCCCTGCCCGGCGTGAATCGACGCTGGTCCGCATGGAGTTGCTAGTGCACTATTTTCATGGCAAAATCCGACACATTCCCCAACCATGGGGCTAATGCAATTAATATGCTTTGTAATCATTGCCTCGGTGCGATGGCCGAGGGGTCTAGGCGTTCGCCTCGTGAGGCGATGGTCGGAGGTTCGACTCCCGCTCCCCACGCCCTTTTTTCATCCCGCGGGACTGATGGATCGTACACTTCCACATTTCCCATGTCTCAATGCGCCAATGTCAAGGATACAACAACGGCCGAAAGGTTGGCAGCAGAAGACAGACACAATCAAAAGGAAGCCTAAGGCTTTCAGATGTCAGGGAAGCTTTAGGCAACGGAAATCTAAACGAATGCTCCGAGACTTCAGACAACAGAAACCTAGTCGAATTTAACGGCACTACAGTTAACAGAAATTTAAGCTAATGCTTTGAAGCAAAGGTACAGCTAAAGTCTAATTTCGAAGTGAGACTCAGCCTTTGTTCTGAGCGTTTCGTTTGCTGGAAGATTGGTCTTTTTAGGCTCGTATGCACTCGTATGACTCCTCATAAGAACGAGTGAGGAAAGGACTTCTTGCGCCTAAAAAACCGACGTCTCCTTGGAAAGACCAAACATCGACAAAAGTACTCAAGACGATTATTTGCAAATTATCCAGACCGATTTCACGTATTTTAAATTGTTCCTCAACCGATGCATCCTTACCGCCGACTGGGATGTGACTTAAATATATTTCATTCGAAAATTGTGGTTACAGAACGATGGCCATCAGCTATAGGCAGGTGAACCTAATATGCATTCAAATTGACCCTACTGTGAAAAACTCGGCGCCTCAGCGGGATTCCAACCCACACAGTAAGGGGAAGGCTTTAGCGCAGCCAACGCTCTAACCACCTGAGCTACAAGGCCCCGCCGGACGACGCGAGTTTAATCACATTTGGGTCAAGTTTATCCGCCCAACCTACTGCAAAGTCTGGAATCCACCAAATGTGATACAGTAAGTTGACAGCCCAAGCAGGATTTCCTAAGTAATTCACCTAGAATCCACCAGATGACTACCAGGCTCGCGTAATTCATTGATATGCATTCGTCTCAAAATTGTGGAACCAATCAGCAGAGAATATACCACGAATTTCCTTGAAGTGAACGACACGCTCAAAGGTGTTCAACACGGTTTTTGACGAAGTCGGTGCATTCTATTCAGTGCAGAACCGATCCCATGAGTTAGTGGACACAAAAGCCGGCGTTTTTTCATCAATTGCAAAAAAATTTTCGCTTGTGTTCCACATCGTCG